GATACATAGTTCCTTGAGAGACACTTTAACTGTGTAAAGTCCACCTTGGTTAAGTCAAGGCTGAATCTTCTTATTAATTAGAATCAGATCTATGATTTTGTTTGCAAAGTCAGGTATTAATGCCATGACTGTGTCTGACGGGGGCTTATATGGATTCAGACAGTTATCGTCTGACTGATCCTTTAATGGATCTATCTTATTTGGTAGACAAGTTACGGTTATACCTAAATCGCTCATTCCGACTATAATGTCGTACTTCTGGGACATCTTAACTATCACAGCTTGGGTAGTAATACTCCTATCATCGACACGTAGAAGTTCTATCATCTGCTAAAATGAGGTGAGTTGTTCGTGTTCCCCTTTCGATATCTTTCATTAATGCAAAGCGATCGATAAAAAAAACATGAAATTTCAGAACCAGGATCAATCAACGCAAGGATTTTATTTCGATTGCAATATACAGGGATTATTACACGCTCATCTAAAGAGTCGTTGTATTGTCTGTGTAACGATTGTACCTGGTAGTACTTTCACACCAACTTAATGTGTGATAGCCATTGGTCTTCTCACAATTGTCGCACTTAATTAGAAAGTGTGTACAGGTGGATGCATGCCTGCCATTCCAATAACCGTTAGGGGTCAATTGGTACATGTCATACCCACAATGTGCGTCGGCACATTTTTTAATTTCCTTAAATGGAGGTTCCTTGTCCTTCGCCTACGCGCGTGCCCGTTTATTGGGTCGCGTGGATAGAGTGGAGTCGCGAGCACGTGTATATTGGGATCTCTCGTTTGAGGTCTGCCTGAATACGTATCCGTGATCGGTGTGCTCCCGCGGCATCTTAACTGCCACTTTTCCCTTCGATGTTTCTCGGTGTGCGGGGGAAAGGGTAGATATAATATCATAAAACTGTTCCCACGTAAGTCGGGATAGATGAAACGTTGTTTTATGTCACAACTCGGTGTACAGGCTCTCACGGTCGTTATTCTCTATGTTCTTACAGAACATGTGCATAACCAGGAACTCGTACCATCGTTGTGCCTTGTCCATTGTTATATCTGGACGTTTCAGGTCAGCATCTAGCTTCAGAATATAACTCTGAATGGGCGTGTTCTCAACTGGTTCAGTTAAAATTGAACTCAGTCCTGGGCTACGCATGTCCTTACTTAACAAGGGTGTAACCAACCAACACACAGCTGGCCAGTCACGACAAGTGTCTAGCTCATGTTGGTGTCGCTGTATGATCAAATAACTTGTACCTGTAGGGTCAAACGTCTGCATTAAAGCAGATATCCATTGCTGGGAGCGATATCATTCGTCTCCAGCATGACCGTAAACGCATTAAGCGGACGGGTTAGCGTGTCGAGGTCATGGTTGTTTATAAACTCGACCTACTTACTGTTGGCATCCCAGTTCGAATCAAGTCGACTGATCTGTCCTTTGTACTTCTGGTTATCCCTGTGGTCTTGTCCACGTTGGGCCTAAAGTAGCTGATCGATGCGCTTTTGCTTAATCGCAATCATATTAGTAAAATATGATACATCCTCAGCATGATGCGCATCGTGTGCGATTTCCATTTTAATGGTATAATCGTCGACAGATTTGTTAAGTTCGGTCGCCTCGTCAGAGTGAAAATCCTCTGCGGGTTGATGTAGTGCTGTACAATCAAAGCGATTAAATTCGACTTCGTTAACACGTTTACGGGGTTGTTTATTACCCCTTGTAAAGTCCATGGTCGAGGCCTTTCAGTGCTCTGTTCTTCGGATAATCTTGGGTGATTCATGCGTCTGGATAACATACCCAGTCTTAACTGGTTTCCGACGATTGTCATCCCAATTGGGTAAAAGTGGCGGAGTATTTCTACCTGCGTCTGGGGTTATAATACCCTCAAGGACGGGTAACTCACGGCTGCGTGTCAGAACAGGCGAGTAATTAGCCTGAAGTTCTGGTGGTAGTACCTCGTAATGTATAGATATGCTGAGCACACCTGGCTCATATGCCACAGGTGTAGCGCTCGAGTCTTTACGTTCTTCGGGCGTAATTGCCTGTCGACCTTCTGTCCACTTCTGTAGGGCTTCAGTAATGCCCGGATAAACATGCTCGCGTAAGTGCTGTGTATGTTTTCCTGATCTATACAATCGATCTACATGTTCAACAGTCAAGTCTTTCATAAGGGTAGCTAACTGATTCTCAAGATCAGTGTTTTCAGTAATTAACTTACTTATGCGCGTTAGCTTAGTAGTCTCGGACGTAGATTCGGGTTTGCCACTTGAGCTTGCCTCTTCTTCTGGTTCCATTATAGGTTCCTTCTGAGATTTGTCCTTGCCCCCTATAATTGGGGACTCCCTTATAATTGTGAACTTTTCTTTCTGACTTTCCTCAGAAGAATGGGTTGGGGCGTCTTGAGACGTGTCCCTTGTCTCACTTCTTGGCTTCGTAAATGCAAGCTTTGAAGTTGAGGCAATAGTTGGCCCTCGGGCTCTGTCAGTGGGAGTAGTCTCCTTAATCGGAGTGGCTAGATCCTTATCTGAAGCATTGTCCTGTTGACTATTATTGTCGGAGGCAAGTGCTTCGGCTACAGTGCGGTTAAACGCATCAGCAGCGGCAGCGGTTTCTCTCTCCATCTTCTTCTTTTCAGCTCTACGCTTCTTTGAAGGAGTATTGTCTTTCTTGGTCATAATCATAACTTATGACTTTTAGCTGATCTCTTAAGGACTAGCTAGGGTAAGAAAATTTTTGTGGTAGTTAATCTACCTTGACGCTTAAGTAGTCTAAGTAATTAATACCTTTGCTAACTTTAAAATGTGTAAGATTCGGTCTATTAAGGCGATATTAACGCCTTGATAAACGCGTAGGTAAATTCTAGGTATCGTAAAAAATATCAAAGTAAATAAACGAAATGAGACTTTTAGTAAAGTTTGGTATGCCTCATGAAAACAGCAATACTCTGAGGGATTGTGAGGCTGAGACATTGCCTATATATAATCCTCTCAGTACTGTTTCCGCCGAAGGGATTTTATTTAGTGTTTCGTTGTCGCTCTATTAGAAGCTATGGTATGTTTCGTTGGGGCGAATCTGAGAGACTCATAAAATCCTATCTTTAGAAAAAAATAAATGCTCTTGATGTCCTTAGTTATTGTCTTCACCAATAACTTGCCACTTATCAAGAATTACTGACTTAGCCTTCATCAGACTGGTACATCTGGTGGGCTGATCTGAGGATCAATTAGGTAACGTTAATAGTCCCTAGAAACCTATATTCGGTTGAGCCATCTGGCTACCGAAGTATTCAGATATAAATAAAGTTGGAAAGTGAATATAGTTCTATTAATAGAACTAGACCAGCTCTTATGTTTCGTATTTTACTGGGGCCTTTTAATGGCCTCGTCCAAATATCTGACATGTAAAATTGAAAAGGTATTAATTAATAAAACCATTAAAAACCATTTAGGAAACTTAAATTCCTCGTACTATTAAGAGATTAAAATCATTCAATCATGACATAGTTGTAGAATAATTTTAGAATCGTTTCCCCGGGCCCAAATCGATGGCGGAAATGCAAAATATTTGTGAAAATGAATTTGAGATTAAAAGTGTACTAAATAATTTGCCGATGTGACACATTTTCATGGATTTCAAATCAAATTTTCGCGAAATTCATCCACCGGTGTGAGCAGCCTATTAAATGTACTTTTTAAATTTTATTTGAAAGAATTTTGAGAAAGGAATCGAATATCACATTTAATTGGGCAGTTAGAAAACGAACTCGTAAATCTGCATGTACATTTAGTGACTTTCGCTGATTCCCATGTAGGCCATGTACATTTAGAGTATTCCCTCATAATATCTTGTATCGTACGATCAGTTTATTGTACGTGCATCCAAAACCTTATAGTTGTATGCTTGAAGCATAGTTGTGAGTAGCTACCTTATACACCAGATCTAGCCATAGCTTGGCAAATTATCGGAAACCAACTCACATAGTGTCATCCTCCGTCGTTGTAGTCATATCCACTTCTCTCTTGTGGACTATCCCTACTAAGACTATACTCCTTGCGTCTTTGTTGGCACAATATGGCTTCAACCCTGTTGTCTTCCACCAATCAGTTCCTCGTCTACGACCTCATGTGCCACCCATTGCCACCCCGTTGACATGACACATGTTCCTTTTCCTAAGCTAGCTTAGCATACTGTTCGGCACGGACCGTACCGAACTGCACCCAGTTAGACTTTACATCCCCCCAGGGACGTGAAACACGTCCTCAACGTTCCTTCTGTATCCCTTGGGTGGCTGACCATAACTCATAACAAATAAAGTAGGCGCCTCGACCGCTCAACTTATTTTACACCCGAAAGTAAATATCTCTGGGTCCATATGAGAATAAATCCAACGGTATTGCTAATGCAGCCGGCAGGATGTTATTGATATATAAATATGTATGTCGTCTAGCGCTCCATCGCCTGACCCTGGCGAATACGCTTCTGCCGTTTCACTTCCTGAGGCAACTGCCTCAGAAACCCTTCCCTTTCGCGAATTGGTATCCCCGACGAATAGTACAACGCCAATTCTTCACACGGCGTTCACCGACGTGTCGAGCCACAAGCTCACCATCCATTCGTGTATGCTTATGTTTGTGAGAAAGTGCTATCCACCTAATCTAGTATGTATTAACCTGTCCTTGCCAATGTGCTGTTTCCGGGCACGTTGACAAGGCCTCAACGACCGTGTCTCGTTCCTCGTCAGGTACTTCCTTGAAGTCGCTCTCGTACGTCAGCCAATTGGTGTATACTGATGCATTAAGGCATCGCTGAGATATTTCGAGCTTCCCAGTAGACGGCATACGCACTACACAGTAAACCGGCGGGTCCAACACAATCACATCGGCCGGTCCGACACAGTCCGGTTGTTTTATTTAACATGACTACTTCACCAACGGCAAACACGAGTACATCGACCCTCCAACGGTTGGCTGCTCATGCTTGTGCCAACTGCGCGCGGTCATCCAGCTCCCACGCCCTTCCTGTCGGCGTTCGTAGACTCCGGCTCTAAGAAGTCCGGGGTGACACGATCGCCTAAATCTTCCCTCAAAATATTTAGCAAGTCCACATCAGCGTGATGTAAAAATACCAGTCCATTGGTGGCCAGTATGTACGGAGCCATGCCCGTTGTATATAAGCATTGTACGCCGAGATAGACTCCGCTACTACATCCGGCCACGCGCTCTCCCGATCTTTCGGTAAATAACGTGAAAGCCAACGATTACACGTACGGTACATGACCTCCAAGGGGTCGTTCCCTTGGTGCCGGCCTTTTTGTACGGGGTGGACCGCATTAACACGGCTTGTCCAACCATTCCAGCCATCAGTAGGATGTCCTCGTCAACGGTTAAATGCCGCGGCCATCTCCACGGAATAATCTGTTGCTCGACAAACCGCGCAGTCTCCTCGAAGGTATGATCATGACGTCGCATCAGGTGTCCTGCCGTTAACCGAGACATGCTGTCAATACCGCAGCACTACGCGCGTGATGGTCAGAATCGATGTGCCACGCCGACCCGAACACCCTTGCCCGTGGCGGCTGACATCGAAGATCTTGTCATATACCAGTCTGCGACGCACAATGCAAACAGTACACGTGACGACCACGTCCAGCACAGGTTCGTAAATCAGCTCACGGTCGGGATCGCCTAAAGTTGAAAAAGCCAGGTGCCTCCTGAGCGCCCACAGCTTAACCTTAAGTTGCTCAGCCAGTTGAACCTGATCCTAGCCATGTATTCCAGGCCTGCGGTTCAAGCCCAAACACATTGAGCGTATGAGGCATGACACCTCCAGCATCACGATGGGCTAAGATCTTAAACAAGTGGTGCGATATGACCGCCCACGTCTCATACGACTGCAGATTCTGCAGCAAGACCATCACAAGTCAGGGCGACTTGCGGTACTCGCCAGCCAGAACAACATATTATCACGAGAATCCTTGTCATAAAGCATTTCCACCATCTTGCAGTGGAATCAATTAACTCAATCTCCATCAGCTCATCACCGAGTATAGCTCGAATGCAGGCTCGAGTCGCAGTACTGAATACATTATTCAAATAATCTTCCGCCGAATGACACTGTTTTGCAAATGCTCCTGTGATGTTACTCGGATTGTGAAATCTACGCTCCTTAATCACCTGCACGTACGTCCGATTACATGTACAGGAATCGGCATTCCTTTCACCATGGAAGATTTCAATTTCTTCCTTCGTCATCTTGAAGGAAACAAATGTCTAGCTATTTTTGTTATTCGCTACTCCAAAACTTTATTCTGGAGTAGTAAAACATGCGAATGGTGTAACGACCAAATTTCTGCGAGTGCTACCGGGGAAGTGATCTTGATATCCTGCAGGTCCGTATTCACACCCTAGAGAACATCCGATACATTCTGAAGCAAACGCAGAAGTGTGCCTCAACACATTGAGACAATACTGGCACGCTCGGCGCATTAACCTCAACCAAATGCAAACCGTATCAGGCCACTTTTGTTGTACCCTATACCTGCCCCCAGAGTGTACCTTGGGCAAAACCTTCATGCCTAGCTCGTCCTCCGCAGTTTCCTGTATCAGTGATGCCTCTTCACGCTTCTGGTGTGCCTGCAGGTCCTGCAACTGTATGTTCCTCCGTCCACTCGCGTGCTGCATGAAATGTATCTGATATGATCCCTTCCTAACGTAGCCTACGAAAAACTGACCCTGCCAGTCCGGAAATCCCGTTGACACAGAGCCCGATTCCAAGGGGCCATCCATACCCCTTGTTGATTGTAGGTTGACCTGGAGTCTGGCTCCTCACCCAATGAGCTTGCTAACGAAATGCTTTCTGAGACTGGCCTCATTCTGACCAAATTGTTGCTGAGTGCTACGCGCCCACCCAACTCAATATGCACCGGAACGTCCCGGAAGACCGGTCCTGAGCTGATCGCGGTGTCACTGAGCGTATAGCCCATTCCCGACTCCACAGCTGGATATTTTGAAGATAGAGCACCATCATTGTAATATTCGGTCTATCAAGGCGATATTAACGCCTTAGAGTAATTAAACGCTTGGGTTAAGTCTAAGTATCGTGGAATTCGAAGTAAATAAACGAAATGAGTCTTTTGGTAAAGTTAGGTACGCCTCGTGAAAACAGCAATACTCTCAGGGATTGGGAGGCTG